ACAGACAGGACTGAATCCGCCAATCGCCAACTTCTACAATCAGCTCAAAAATGTGGACATCGACTCGCGCAAAGAAGTCTTAACAGCGACTTCTTAAGTCACCTTTACCAGGGGAAGAACGCAAGTGCGCGCACCCCTGAGCGTCCAGGTGGACGTTGCCGTAGTGTACAATGCGTCGTTGCGGGGACCTCCGAGAGTTAGAATTTGACAGATTATTTCTTGAATATGGTTGACTTTCTGAACAAATACCAGTCGTTCTCGGTTAGTGCGGCTGCTTATGAAACATGCCGCGTAAAAAAGAAAGTAAGTTTGTTGAGGATATTCAAATTTAACGCAAATATCTGGTTTGGTACGGCAGGCGCTTACAGCAACGCCATCTAGCGGCAGTTCATCGCAGTACGCAATCCTATGCAAGTCTTACCGTAGTGTGACAGAGCTTTAAAGACAACCACCTCAGTTCCCTGAGTTCCGCGGTAGCCTTTAGGACCCGTTGTGCCGATTCTCGCGAAATCAACACTTCATCTGAATTTTACTATCAGTGGGCTGTGAAAGACGCCTTTTCCCGCCACCCACGCGAAAATCTCCTTCCCAGGCGAGGAAATTTGCAGCTGATGCCGGGATATTTACTGTCCGTGGTCTGCGGGAGTTCCCTTTCCTGCCCACGGGCTGCGAAATCCCTTGCGGGTCGGCACCGAAGGCAGCCCTTCTCTGCCCACCCGGTAAATTTTCCACCAGTGCTTGAAATATCGTGGCCACATTTTACTGTAAGTTTACAGGCCTGGGCATACAGAGGATACCTTGACAGCCCAAAGGGCATGGAAGGGCTTCTTTCCAGCCCAAAAGGCAAATGCCCAACCTATGGTTGCAAATTCCCGGCCTACTGGATTGTAAAATCCCTAATATTTTTTACAGTGCGAGTGCGGGTGGGTTGCCTACTCGCTCGGCTCGTAAGGCGCCGTGAACAGGGGCGATAGGCAAGCCCGCCCGCACTCGTGCGTGTTTGAGTTTGAGTTTATTGCCACTGAACAAGTTGTACATGTTATGGACATAATAGATGATAAAATATAAGTAATAAAAAGTGGTACAGCATAACCACAGAATTGCGCGGCGTGAATCAGCCACCTGGTATAGTGCAACCAAAAAATTTCGGTACTGTAAACGTATAAAGGGGGTCGCCGAACCAGTGTCGGAAAGGGGGGGGGTGACTTTTTCCTCTGGTAGAGACAGCCACGGGGAATGTCTAGAAATTGACGTATTTTTACTAACAAAGTAACCAGTATTATTGCCGCCGATGTCGACCGCGTGCGGCGATTTGTTCCAATTGCCCGTCGCCCTCTTTCTCTTCGGCACTAGATGTAGGGGACAAGGGGGTGGGGGATGTACCGCTCTAACGGCTGGCCAGCATTTCACGCCCGCGGTCCGCGAGCAGCGCGGTAGATTTCGTCTCCGAGAGCCGGAAATAATCAGGAAAAGCACCCGTAACATTGGCAAGCACCAGCGCCGCCGTACCCCGCCCGCCCCCCACCGTGTGGGTGCCCCCCCCCCTCCCCCTCCGGAGAGAGGTTTCACTGCACGCCGCGCGGCCGGTGGCCAATGAGATGGACAGTGCCATGGTCGGAGCTGCCAGAGGTACACCGTGCTGTACTCAGCTGTCTTTCGAATTTACGCTTCTGGTTCGCATTTGCCGACAGAGCTAAACGTCAAGAACTGTCTCCATTTTAGGTGCTGTTTTGATTATTTCAACAGATTTCGTAACACATCCTGGCACTCCCCAGCTGCCCATACGTGGGGCGCGCAACCCTGCGTGGCCGGCGGGTCGCTCATAGCGCTGCAGGGCCCTATTATTGGTCTGGACCCGGCCCTCGCGACTCTGTGCGGCAGGGAGGCTTTCTATCTGATTGATTCTTTCGCGATTCCCTGATGCAACTTTCTCTCTCTCCGTCGCGCGCGCGTCCAGGGCGGGGCGATGCATAGCTCAGCGCTGCTCAGCCCGGCTCAGCCCAGCCGCACTCACACCACGTATGCATATTGCATCTCCGTCGTGGCGGCCGCGGTCCTCCTCCTCCTCCTCGGGATCCCGGCCCGGCTCGACACCCGGCCCGACACCCGGCAGGCGCCATGCATGTTTCATGGCAGCCGCACTAGTTGCGCGACCAGGAGGCGCTGCTCCGCGGGCTCCGCACTTTACGGACTTGGCGATTGGGGTATGGATTAGGCCCACTATATCAGCTGCAAACTGTGGGATTCTTATTGCGAAGACAATTTATGCAGACGCAGGATTGGAATAGATTCCGTTTCCCTGTGTCGATTGCGTCGTATGGGTGTAAGGAGTGTAACTGAATGGTGAAGCGGAAGAAGGGGATAAGTCTGGCGTTACAACCATGGACTCATACCCTTCTTCCGCTTCACCATTCAACTGTGAATGCGCAGAAGTGTTGTGGGATTGCATACTGAATATGGCCGCAGGGGCCATGGCCCCGTACGGGTGTAAAGAGTAGGCAAACCCGCAACACTGCTGCGTATTCACAGTTACACCCGGTACATGATCATACAGAGAGAGAACGTTAAGCTGCCTTAGTGCCTGACAGGTAGGCAATATCTCGCCTGCAGTGCATGCGTGTACCGCGGGGTGGCCTACCTCGAGTTTCGCAGGCGCCTTGAGGTTCCCCTAGGTCGCCGAACGAATATGAGACAAGCGGACGTTTTTTTTTCTGGAGGATCCCGCAGGGCTGCGTTGTCTTGTCCTGTCGCACGACGGCCCCGCCTTGTCGCGTCGATTGTCAGCGATTGTCAGCGATAGGCGCCGATAGGGGGCGCGGTTGGCGACGGCCTGGCGCGGTCACCGCCTTGTAGTAATTGTTTCCGCTGGATTCCCACGCACATTGAGGCGCCTCTCTGGACGGGGCACCTGGGGTCTGGGAGTTGTAGTCGTGGTGGTGGTGGTGCTGCTGGCGACACCGGAGAGATGAAAACCGGGAGATACTGCTGTCAGCAAAGGGAGGCGTTCGTTGTTATAATGGCACGATCACCAACACTGCAAATACGGTTGTGGAATGCCGCGTAATTCCCTTTTTGAAGAGGACTCCGTCCTCAACTCACAGTGAGAATGACCAAATGTGATGTGTTTCAGAATTTTTCTGTCTGTCTGTCTGTCTGTCTGTCTGTCTGTCTGTCTGTCTGTCTGTCTGTCTGTCTGTCTGTCTGTCTGTCTGTCTGTCT